GAAATGTGTCTAGGCATATTAGTAAATCAGGGTCATAGTGTATGAGGTAGGCTTGATTCCTCTGAGAAGGTTGGAGTAACTATGTCCTGAGCCATATTAAAAGGTGCTGAAGATTAAGGCAAATATGGCAGAAACATGAGCTTTTAGTATTTTCCAGTTGAGTCATTTTTCCAAGCCTTCCTGGAAAAACACTAGCATGTTATTTATTTTAACCTCCCTGGAGGTATTCCCGAGTGTAGCTCGGGGTAAAGTTTCAGCACCACAAGCAGTAAGCCCGAGCTACACTCGGGAATACCTTGCAGCGTTGCTCCGGGATCCCTTCTGACCTTACCTTGTCCTTCGCTCCCGCGATGTCCCCCCTGCAGCATCCACGGCCATCTCCTCCGGCCGATGCCGGCATCTGTCTTCCGGGTTCCGTTCCCTGTGACGTCGGGACGTACAGGGGACGGAACCGGCGGGAAATTTAAAAATGTCAAAAAGTGACATTCACTAAATACACTAAAATCACACAGTACTACTCATTACTGTATCAAACAATTTCACATACATTTTGTCCCTAGTGTTTTGTCCTGTGCCCTGCCTGCATTTTTACTGTTCTTTCTGCCTGGAAACTGAGAAATGTCCATGGCGTCCAAAAAGCGTCCCTGTAGGTCAAAAGTGGATTTAGACCAGCTAGAGAACAGCGATGGTAAATTAGAACCACTTGCAGAATTGAGTGATAATGATTCGTGGGGAAATTCATCATCAGACACTGAAAATGATTTTGTGACTTTGCTCAGTGATGAACTTGGCGTTCTATTTAAAATGTCAGTGTTTTTGGTTTGAATACATTATTGAATTACATTTATTATATTATTATTTTTTATGATTATTTATTATATTATAATGTATATGATTTCATGTTTCAAACTTTATCATACCCGGGATGTTTACTAGACTCTTCTTCAGACAGATTTCAGTGAGTTATTCCTAAAAATTACAGGCCTACAATAAAAAAAACGACATGCAAAAAAAGTACCGCTTTGAGCACAGAAATACTGACATAATCAGACTGCTAGGGAGGCTATGTGAAGGAGGGTTGAATGACCTTAGAGAGGTTGATAGCAACAAAAGCTTTCATACCTTATGGTAAGTTATGTTGGTAGAGTGTTTTTTTTTTGCCTTCATTAAAGTACATATCACAACCTGGGAGCAGCCTAAGCATCATAATTTCTCCCACTCAACCTTCATGCCATTAGAGTTTGTCCAGGGATGGATGTGGAAATAGTCTCATTAGAAGTTTCGGGGAAGATTCTAGACTTAGGCGGAGAAGTAAGAAAAATTAATAATAGCGCCTATGGTCAAAATTATATAACTTACTAATAGTGTACCAGCTGCAAAAAATCACCATATATAAAGTGTACCAATAAATAAAATGATTTGCGCTAGTAAATGTGTATAAAAAGAAATCATCAAATCATAAGTCCAGAAAAAAAATATATATATGCCAATACCACAAAAAAAATAAAAAAACTTTTAAGTGCAAAAAACTTTTGTGCAAAAAAAGTGTCTAAATATGAAAAATTTCACCAAAAAACCTTGATAATATAATGGCAGATCATCCATAAATATATCTTCAGAAACGGAAACTCTGCAACACACCGATCCTCATCGATCGAAATAACAGGATGAAAAACTTTGTAGTTAATCGAAAATCCACTTCTCCAATAGATAAAGGACCACCTTCAAACGTATCCATGGGGGGAAATGCCAAGCACTCGAGAGAAACAGAAAGACTTCATGGTGCAATATTATAAAAACCAATTCCTTTATTAGGTACTCATTGCACTTACTCAAGAGGTGTCCCAGCCGACACCAGCATCAACAGCATAACAGCAATCACATAAACGAGCCTGGCTACTCAGCACATGCGCAGTAGCTGGCAGCCAAAAACGTAATGACGTCACATCAATCAAGCTCCGCCCTACGCGTTTCGTCATCGACGTCCTCACGGAGCAGGAGGCGGAGAAGTGTGTGGAACCACTGCCTTCGCAGCCAATACAGTATTGTAGCTATCCTCATTCATTAAAAATGATGCACCCTCTGCAGCCACTTCAGAATTGGAGGGTAAGGCATACATTATTGAGAAGGTCCAAGGAAGGGAAATGGCATCCTCTCCAAGGGGTCCTGGAACCCTGGAACATTCTAGAATGGATGGAGCTGCTCTTTGTGTTCTCAGGAGAGCCTAAGAGCTATATTTCGGGCATTCTCCAAAACTCTGCAATCTGACTGAAGACTTTTATATTCAGGGACCATTTCTTGTTGTCTGTTTGGGAATGACTGTGGATTTTCATCAGATTGTTTTGCTCCCCTGGGTGTTAGATTGCTCATATGTTTGACTGAACAGGTGTGAGAAAGATTAGAAGGTCTCAAAGGCTGCTCTAATTTCCAATATGTTTGCGACAAGAGTGGAGACTTGGAACTTCCACTTCCCCTATGCTGCAAGGTCTTTGTAGTGAGCACCCCAGTCCCAGTGGCTGACATCAGAGGTAAGGATTGCCATTGTGTCTGGAACAATGCAATGGTGCCTGGATATACTTGAGTGGCATAACCATAACCGTAGTAAATCTTTCATAAAATGAGAGTACGCTGTTGTAGTTCTTGTTTGTTCTTTTGAGCCAGGAATCCTACCTTGAATTTCTGCATTCTCCAATGTGCTCATCTTACCACAGGAATTGTAGATGAAAGAGTACCAAGAGACTCAGGCACATGGACTCATTCATCCATTGTGACTGCATTGCTGACTGGACCTTGGTCTGAATATTGAAGATCTTCTCCTGTGGTAATTGAACTGAGAAAAATGAGGAATTGGGTAGAGACTAGATTGGAGTTGTGTTTGTTCATTATTTATTCGAAATGGTGCTCTTTGTTGTTTCACTAGAGTATTGAGGTCCTAGACCAATAGAAGAATGATGTCTAGGTAATGATTCATGCTGAGGCCCTTTACTTTTAGATGTGCAGTGAGAGGCAGAAAGACCTTAGTGAATGTCCTCCGTGCAGTGGAGATTCAAAAGGTAGGCATACAAATTGTATTACAAAGTACCTCAGGACTGCAAACCAAAGACATTTTTGGAATCACAGATGGACCGGGATGTTGAGGAATGCATTGGAAAGATCTGCCAACATCATCCAGTCTCCCAACTGTATAGTCAGAATTATAGACTGACTGGAGCGACTCCATGTGAGGATGATAACTGGATGGGTCTGCTGAGAGACTTCAGGTGTAGAATTGGTTTTAGGTTGTCTGTTTTTTTCTTCTGGCTCTGCTTTTTCCAAATTGGCCACCAGTAAGTTTTGAAATGGTTGAATCCAGTTTTTCCCCCCAAAGAGGATGGAGCTACCGTAAGGTATGCACCACTTCAAAGAAGATTAATTGGCTATCCTGTGCTCTAGTAATAGTGCCCTTCTTGCGGTGACTGAGGATAACATAACTCTGGAAGAACATCTAACAACATCAATGGTGGCTTAACTCCTTTATTTCCTCCATAAAAGTAAAGGAACCACTGGATTTTTTAAGCTGGGAAAGTATCTTCACATGTTTGCAGGTTCTTCATCTGGATCCTCCCATTAGGTGGCTTCTTTTTTTTTGGCTGTGACAAAAGGATTCACCAGGCTGAAATCAAAATCAGTGGAGTAAGCTTGTCTGCTTCCTCTGAATAGTCTCAGAAATCAGCACCTGAGGCCTGATGAGAGGTAATAGGAACAAGTTGTATTGGTGGTTCTCTAAGCTGTCTGCTGTTATCCTAACCTAAGGTATCCTGACCTGGCCATCTGAAATTGGGTCTGTGCCCCATATACCTTAGGTCAGTGGCAGTGAAAAGGGTTAAAGCAACGCCTATAGAAAAAACTGAGTATAATTAATTATCGCCATTTCACAGGTGCTTGCATTTTTAGTCTTGACATGTTTGGTATATATTTACTTGACACAATCTCATCTTTAAATTTTACCAAAAAATATGAACTTTAATTTGTTTGTATATAATAAAATTAATTTTAGTGTATTTGTACTGAAAATATCGTGTGACATAAAACTCTCTACAGTTACCAACTTTTTATTCTGTAGGCCTCCTACTTTCAGAAAATATGTTTTGAAGGTTTTAAGTCTTCCCAAGGCCAAAAATTTGCATTTTTACATGTTTCTGGGGCAAACAAGAAAAAAATTAGCTCTGGCAGTGAAATGTTTAAATTCCATTTTCAGTTTTTTTTTTTTAAATATTATGCAACTCCAATTGGATCTGTGAGAAACTCTCTATTACATTGTTATTTTCTTATTAAAAACAAAGTGTTCCAATATTTTAAAGGCCTAAGTCTAAGGTTGGATATACATGAGTCTGTTTTTTTTGGTCAGCCAGAATGTTGAACAAAATTAATTGACTCGATTCCCCTATCTGTACACTAGATGTGGACATGGGAATACCTCCCACTAAATTTTCATAATCTGACAGCAAGAAGACTTGCCCAACATCAAAATACACTGATCAGCACTGCCAACTATAGCGCGAAAAAGGGAAAAGTTTCCAGCAGGCTTGCTGTATGCAAGTTGATTAATCTATTGACTTGTGTATGACCAGCCTGCCCTTATAAGGGTCAGATTTTGAAATTTGGCTGGTCCCTGCTGAACCAGTATGGCTGACTTTAGCCTATTTATAGTATGTACTGCATCTGTAAAGGGATACAAAAGAGTGCCTAGTTAGTAATGATTCAAAGGTATGTGAAGTTCAGTAAGCCTTAGCAATCATTTAGATTTCACTTTTTTGAAGTTAGTTTTTGAGATTTTTCTATCTGTTTGCCTTAGATTAGTGTACCTTGCAGATTAGCATTATTTTTTTTTTTTTTGCTCTGTTTTAATGAGGCAGATTATGTTTTGTGTAGGTGTAAGGTTTGCTTCTAATGATTATATATATATATATATATATATATATATATACTTGATAATTGCCTTTTTGTTATGCAGGCTAACCAAACCGGAATTCAAAACTGTTCGTCATTTTCATTTCACGGCTTGGCCTGATCATGGGGTTCCAGATTCCACTTCATCTATCATCCAGTTTCGTAATCTTGTTAGAGAATATATGGACCAACGAAGGAGCAATGGACCCACTGTTGTGCACTGCAGGTATAAATTGGTTAAACTGGTAGAATACAATCTACCAGTTTGTGAGTGAATTAACTACAAGTCTTGTCTGCCACCACAGGAGGCAGAATTGTAGTTCTCAATGGACTGTGAGAAAGCCCTTAGAGTGGTATGGGCAAGAAATCTGGAGGGCTGTGTCTCTGCAATGCTTTGCAGGTTTCTTTGCAAAAAAAATATTACATTCACATTTTTATTACTGCAAAAATATGTGCATTTATTATTTTTCCCTTAAAGGTAAACTTGCCTTTTAAAATCTGCAATAAAATTATCATAATATATATGATCCCACCACACTACCCCTCTGGTTCCCATGTTGCAACCCTTTCTCTCTCAAAAGCCCTATTTATCATTATACATAACACATCTATAGAGGCATATCTTCCTCCTGTTATGGACGATCGATAATTGCTACCTTAACCCTCATCTCTCTGCAGATAACAGCCGGCTTCGCTTTCTTCTCTACTCTTAACTTCTTTGACTTCCTTATGCTTCTATAATTTCATTCATGTGACCTCATGTGCTTACTTCCTCTGCTGGCTGGTGACTGTGCACAGTGGACCATTCCACTCTCTGGAGTATGTGTAATTCAGAGAAATTACATCATGCATGGTTTGTCACATTGCTTACAATACACAGATTCTAACGATTCCAACAATGACCCTGGCGACTGTATTAAAATTTCAGCATTGTCTGGTCAAATGATTAATAAGACCTCATCTGGAATAAGAAAGTTCAGTTTTCAACACTAGTTCACAAAAAGAATTTGAACTGGAAAAAGTGCAGAGAAAGTCAACCAAGCAGATAAGTGGCATGGAGGAACTATGCTATGATGAAAGGTTAGTTGAATTGAGTTTATTCTCTCTTGCAAAGAGGCGATTAAGTGTGATATGACCACCATATAAAAATACATAAGTGGTTCATATAGTGAACTTGATGTAGGGTTATTAACGTTCAGGTCATTACAGAGCACAGGAAGCATTCTTTACATCTGGAGTAAAGTAAATGTAACCTCCACATACTGAGAGGCTTATTCATATTCCTCAAGAGCTAGTTCTGGCCAGCTAGGAAGATTGTTTTAAAAAAGAGCTGGATGCATTCCTAAATGCCCAAAATATAACTGGATATTACCATTTATAGGTAATAACACCAGAGATTGTTGATCCAGAGAATAACCAATTGCATCCTTGGGACAGGAAGGATTTTTTCCCACTGCTGGAGCAAATTGTACCATGGTCTACGTTTTTTTTTTTACCTTTCTCTGAATCAACTGTGGCTATAGGATTGTGTATATGGAGGTTTTTCTATTTATTTATTTCTATTGGCTGAACTAGATGGTCTTGTGTCTTTCTTCAAACTGACTACTACATAACTATGTAATTCTGGTAAGCTTCCAGACATGTTAACCCCAAAATAGCAGAAAATAGCAGAAAAAAAAATGTTTTTGGCTTGACATACTTTTCAAAAATATCAATTTAAATCTGTTTTCCCACAATTATGATAGTAATTATCTATGCCTGAAAAGTTACACTTTTGCTGTCATTATGTCAGTACAAGCCCAATTATGGTGCATTTTACTAGGTAAAAGAGGTTTTTGTTAGGTAGAAAATGCTTTCATGCTTGGAAATACATATATAAGGTAAGGGGATTTATATGTATTTTAGTTATTGTTAGTGATTCACATTTTGTATATAGACCCAGAATACTTTACCTAATCCCTTGCTGTTTTTTTTTTTTTATCCTATATAGTGCGGGAGTTGGTCGTACTGGAACTCTAATAGCTTTAGACTACCTTATCCAGCAGATGGAGAGGGAGCAACGTATTGGCATTTATGGCTGTGTAGAGAAGATGAGAATGAACAGGTGTCTAATGGTGCAAACAGAGGTAAGCAAATCAAATAGTAATTTGATGATTCAATAGCAGAATTGGTGATTGAGCGTAAAAACTAATTTTTGTTCTGCTATGGACAATGTGATCACATACATGGGTATACATCAGTGTGACTTTCATCAAACATTCACTGGTTATGATTCTAGCACTGTCTTTTGAAACACATGCACTGGGAAGATTCATCAGAATTCCTGGCAATTGTCAAATTCACTACTTTATAAATATGCCCCTTAGTGTTTGTTATTAAAAAATGTCTGCGGGTATCAGCAGGCACACCTTAATGACTGATCTTGGGTGAAGATGGGGTCAACTTAAAGTGGAGTTCCAGTCATTTTTGTGTTAATTAAAAGTCAGAAGCTACAAAAACTGTAGCTGCCGAATTTTAATAAACACACACTCACCTGTCCCAGGATTCAGCGATATGCTCATCTGCACCATCCTTTCTCTCCCTCTTCTCTCCCCGGCGCCGGCATCTCAACTGTGGGCACCAGGTTGTGACAGCTTGCAGCTTCACAGCTGGGTGCCCGCTGCGAATGTGTGAGTCGAACTGCGCATCCTGATTGGTCCGGCAGTCTTCTGGGAACTATGAAGTGTCCCAGAAGACTGCAGGAAGAAGGAGGGGGCCGAACTTCCATCTCTCTTCGCCGCGGCGAACTGAGTCAGAAGTGGGAGTGGGTACCTGTCAAAACCAGGTATCCGCCCCCCCCCCCCCCCAACAAAGTGCCAAATAGGGCATGTGAATGGGGTGGGGGAGTAGGCAAACAAGCAGAGCTTCCACTTTTGGGTAGAACTGCGCTTTAATTGCCTTATTGCTTCAAATCACTGTTTTCTTAAAGCAAGGCAAATGTACTTATGAGAACATATAACACAGACCTCAATCACGAAAAGAGGAATAGGAACCAGATACACCATAGGAAACTTTGAGTGCTTTTCAAAAATGAATCAAATATTGAAAGTATATAGTAAAAAATGTTTAATAAAAAATAAAGTAGGTGTTGTACTCACAAATGACAATATAGTCAAGGCACATCATAAAAGAACAGCTGGGTCAAAGCCGCGCTGAGTAGCAGTCCGCAATAGGGAGTGTAGACATCCAAAAGGCTGACGCGTTTCGAGGACTTGCCTCTTCCTCAGAGCCAACTGACCAAATGTCTGCTCCCTCTTTTATATGCTCACTACTAGTTAAACCAAAGGTCACATGGGCCATCCTGGACACTCCCCTGTGCAGGTGGAGGAGTCACAGTGGCAATTGACATAGTGTAAGTAAACACGAAAGGTCTATACAAATATATATATATGTGTATAAATAAAACCATTGAAACTAGTGACAATCATAAAATCATATGATCATATGTCAGTTGGCTCTGAGGAAGAGGGAAGTCCTTGAAACGCGTCAGCCTTTTGGATGTCTACACTCCCTATTGCGGACTGTTACTCTGCGCGGTGTTGACCCAGCTGTTCTTTTATGATGTGCCTTGACTATATTGTCGTTTGTGAGTACAACACCTACTTTATTTTTTATTAAACATTTTTTATGGTAATGCACTAGGCCTGTGCGCCCTCTGTTTTGTCTTTTCTCATTCAGTATATTTGGATTTCCCCGGTCCATTTGAGGGCAGCAAGGTGTGCATGTTGCAGGACATTCTTAATGTGGTTGTAGCCTGCATCGAGTCCATCCCCAAGCGCAGGAGCATTTGTGTTTGCTGGTTCATTGAAAGTATATACACTTGTGTTCAAAATAATAGCAGTGTGTTGAAAAAAGTAAATAAAGCTCAAAATCCTTCTAATAGTTTTTATTTCCCTACACACAAATGCATTGGGAACACTACACATTCTATTCCAAATCTTCAAAACATGAAGAAAAATATATCAAATTTGTGTTGTTCCTCTAAAAAAAATTTAAGAAAAGTGAATATTAGACTGTTCAAAAAAATAGCAGTGTTTGTATTCTTCTTTACAAACTCAAACATTCACTATATAAACTGAAAAATGTTTGAAGATTTTGCTTTCCTTTGAATCACTTAATTAATATTTAGTTGTATAACCACTGTTTCTGAGAACTGCTGTACATCTGTGTTGCATGGAGTCAACCAACTTCTGGTACCTGTGAACAGGTATTCCAGCCCAGGATGATTGGACTACATTCCACAGTTCTTCTCTATTTCTTGGTTTTGCCTCAGAAACTGCATTTTTGATGTCACTCCACAAGTTTTCTATTGGATTAAGATCCGGGGATTGGGCTGGCCACTCCATAACATCAATCTTGTTGGTCTGGAACCAAGAAGTTGCACGTTTACTGGTGTGTTTGGGGTCGTTGTCTTGTTGGAACACCCTTTTCAAGGGCACTTCCTCTTCAGAATAAGGCAGCATGACCTCTTCAAGTATTCTGATGTATTCAAACTGATCCATGATCCCTGGTATGCGATAAATAGGCCCAACAACGTAGTATGAGAAACACCCCAATATCATGATGCTTGCGCAACCATGCTTCACTATCTTCACAGTGTACTGTGGCTTGAATTCAGTGTTTGGGAGTCGTCTGACAAACTGTCTCCGGCCACTAGACCCAAAAAGAACACTTACTTTCATTAGTCCAGAAATTGTGGCTCCATTTCTCTTTAGGCCAGTCAATGTGCTCTTTGGCAAATTGTAACCTCTTCAGCATGTCTTTTTTTCAACAGTGGGACTTTGCGGGGGCTTCTTGCAGATAGCTTGGCTTCACATAGGCGTCTTCTAATTGTAACAGTACTCACAAGTAACTTTAGACCTTCTTTGATCTTCCTGGAGCTGATTGTTGACTGAGTCCTTGCCATTTTGGCTATTCTTCTATCCATTTGAATGGTAGTTTTTCACTTTCTTCCATGTCTTTTAGGTTTTGGTTGCCATTTTAAAGCATTTGCAATCATTTTTTAGCTGAGCAGCCTATCATTTTCTGCACTTCTTTATATGTTTTCCCCTCTCCAATCAACTTTTTAATCAAGGTACGCTGTTCTTCTGAACAATGTCTGGAACAACCCATTTTCCTCAGAATTTCAGAGAGAAATGCACTGTAACCAGCATGTACAACATTTGCTGCCTTCCTTCCTTAAATAAGGGTAATAATTGCCACCTTTTTATTCAAAGAATGAATGACCTCACTAATA